TAAACAAAAAATAAATAGACATAAGAACAGCTTTAATATTAAATATACAATGTGTGGTCAAAATACAACTATTCATATAGTATATTAACTATGTGCCACCTATTAACTTTATAATTAGATCGTATATCCTCGGCTTTGGATAATGTAAATTAAGCAAAGTAGAAGTCAAAGACATTGTTCTCCCTCTTTAGATAATGTAAAGACTAAGAACAAATTCCAGCTGAAATGTTGAATACGGAAATGATGCAGTTACAAAAGAAATTCAATTAGAAAATAAAAAAAAAATAACCACATTCTTAGCTCAACTTTATTTTTTTTAACAAAACAAGATGATGCTTATAATGTTGCCTACCAAAGCTCTGAGAAAAAAGTCTTGTTAAATTCTACGGTTCTGATAAAAAGATTTTCTGTAAGCTTTAAGGACAGAATAGCATAATGAATGGATAATTACCTGAGTCCCCAGGACCCTGATGGTGACAGCTCTTTATAGAAATAGAAGTTAACGTCTTGTTATGTCTGACTGCACGGAGAAGAGGTATCCAATCAGCAGCTTTAATACGATCCGCATTGATATCAAGAATATTATAAAGTTTTTTGGCTTTCACAGATGTTAAAGGGGCACAGCCTTCTAGAGCACAGAGCTGCTCATAATGAGCATAAAAATCCATACTGCACTGTCTCCTTACTTTGACAGAATCAATCATTTTCAGTTACGTACTGAGTTATGATCCAAAGCTAAGAAATAAAAAAAATATGAATTTTTTGTTAACACCTTCTAACCAATTAAAATTTATAAAATTTATACCTCTTCTATGCCTCTTTTTTCTTTCAAGATCAAACCCGACTGTAAAGGGGGCTTAGTTTCCAATGCTACCTTCCTGCAGAAGTTAATATACATTCTTCCTTGTCAATGACAGATTTAATACGGCTAATCTCAATGGATAGATAGCTAAAATAAAGGCAAGAGAGAATACAAATACAGGATCCATTCCCAATTTTTGGGGGGTAAATCCTACAAACATTTAACGAGTTCATGACTCTTTCATTTTTAAATACAATAATTTAATGAACAGGTATACATATATAAAAGACATTTTACAAAACTATTGTCCTAAATATTCCATTTTTTTAAAACTAATGATTTTAAAGGATAAGCTAAAATGATATATGGAAAAGTGACTTCTGAATGCATAGAAATGGTAAAATGTCTTCTGTTCGAACAGGGGGTTGAACTAGATGACTTTCCAACTCTGTTATTCTATGAAGAGTTTTTGTGTACTTAGTTTTGGTATAATGGATCATTTTTAGAAATTTAGTCTGAAAAGTTATAAATACATCCAGGAACTAATCATTTTGGAGGATTACAACTGGAGACTAAGTAAATAGTTTCTTAGATTAGATCACTCAATGAATAGATTCTGTATTACCATAAAGATACGTATTTTTAAAGGCAGGAAGCCCATCCTTTGAAACTTGCAGCACAGTTTTAGAATTTCTGTATTTAACTGATCAATTATGTTTTTCTTTTTGCAGATTTTTATAGTATAATTTTAGAACTTTATTATGACTATGATTATTGATTTTGAAGTATTATCAATATACCATGATATACCTCTATTTTCTTCCGTTAATTCATTTGATATTTAAATGAAAAATTAAATCTTTTCCATTAGTTTGGAAGCAGCCAATAAAGCAAATATTCAAGTATTCCTGGCTTCACCATCAACAAACAACTTCTCACTTTAAAGCTGTCTCCACATCCTTAGATGCACTACTTCTTTCTAAAAATTATAGTATTCTCATTTATCTCTTTTAAAGAAAACAAAATCCAAGATGAAAAGGAATTAAGCCAAGTGGTAAGAAACAAAATCCAGAGAACCAATAGGAATTATATACTATGGCAGTGGTTCTCAACCTTTTTAATGTCGCGATCTCAACCGGTCGTAAGTTGACGACTACTCAACTGGTCGTAAGTCGAGGACTACTCAACTGGTGCAGCACCGTTTGCAAAATGGGACTTTTGGCAGGCTCAGCAGGGCAGAGACAGCCTGGACAATCCCTATTGGCTTTTGAAAGCCAATAGAATTAGACTCTATTCAAGAGAGTCTATTCTATTGGCTTTCAAAAGCCAATAGAATAAAAGGGAGTAGCACAGCTAAGGAAAAGGGGGGAAAATGGCGGACTGTGTTGTTTGGCGACCCCCGTGAAATGGTCGTTCGACCCCAAATGGGGTCCCAACCCACAGGTTGAGAACCACTGTACTATGGAATATTGAAACAAACTAAGAAGGAACTATAATGCTGAAGGTACACAACTGCAAGAAAACACTAGAACAGAGGTCCCCAACCCCCAATACTAGGACATAGTTTGTTGGGAACTGGGCAAGAGCCAGGTGAGCAGATGAAGCTGCATTTGTGCAAGTGGCACGCGTGCACACAAATCCATCGTCTCTTTACCCCCCCCGTCCCCTCAATCTTCAGAGTCAGAAAAATTGGGGACCGATGCATTAAAAGATGCTAACATTAAATAATTATTACAGAATTCAGCATTATAAAAAAAACAACCACTATACAAAATATAAATTAATGCCTTCTATTTTGAAATAGGCCTGCCTGTAACCTTGTAATTTTGACAAACTTACTAAAAAATTTATTATGCTTATTTTAAAAATAAATTTTATAGCAATCCTGTTTTTAAATTAGAAATATTAAATCTTAATTTAATTCATTAGCTAGAAACTTAAAAACTGTTGGTGTATATATGTTTTCAAAGCAACCAGACCACCTGTCCAATCAGATAATGTTGCCACGATTATGGAAGAACTGGTATCTGAGTTTAACTCCTCTCCTCTTTCCTGACTCCCATTTATTTTGCTTTAGCTTTGAATCCATTCCACCCTGCAGACGGAATCATGTTATCTTTTAACTGCTACAAAGTATTTAGTCATTTTTAGGAATTGTTCTGGCTAATACCAAGAACAAACTTTTACTTCTTTCCCAGGCAATTGTCTGTGGAAGTTCTCAGTCATCCAGGTCATAGTTGTCTCAAAGGGGCTTGCTTCTTCAAAAGGCAACCGGACTGTTTTTTCCACCAGGAAGAAAAAGACATTTCTCTTTTCAACCAAGAAGCTTCAACTCATTCTTCAATTCATGAAGCCTCTTGGATGAAAAGCAAAACATCTTCTTCAAGGAAAAAACAATCCAGTTGTCTTTTGAAAAAGTACCTTTAAGGTTCCCAGGCAATTCTGCAACATAAAATAAAGATTAGACTAGCAGACCACAATCTTTCCTTTTATATGGAACACTTTATTATCAAAAAGTTTTGAGAACTACATATAGTTAAGAGTAACTATTCAACAGTGTTTGGAACCACCAGGAACATCAGTGCTCCCTCACAGTGTACATGAGGCCAAATAAATTTATATTAAAGCTATTCCTATTAAATGGCAGAGACTACATGAGATCACCAAATTTCATAAAGAAAAATGCCACATGGCATAATTATATTTTTCAATATTATTTTGCAGATTTATGCATGAATGGTACAAAATGTATCTGTTTCATTTATTACATATTTTAATACCATGTCCGTTTTAGAAGTTACATGATTTTTATACATCCTATTATTTAGTTTAGTAGAAACTTACTAATCAAACTTTTCCAGCAAAATCATTTTGATAACAAAAACAATTGCCCATGCCGACAATGCCCACAATGCATATTTGGCAGCACCCACAGACTGAGATAAATCATTGTTTCTTATCCCTACATGCAAATACTTATTGCTATGTGTAAGAATGTCGCCCATCCACCATCCACTCGTTAACCAGTGACATTTAAAACCAAGACTAAAAGAAATCTCTTAGCAAATTGATATATACTGAACGTGGCTTTGCACGGCGTACAAGCAGTAACAATTTAAAAAATTAAAACAGCCATAAATACAACCGAACGTAGATTAAACATCCACTTCGTCTGCCTTTGGGGATTCAGCGCTGTGTATAACCCAGGACCTCTTTCCACTCACCTTCCTATTTATTTCAGACTCACCACGCGCATAGCCAAAACGAACATCCACGCCCAAAAGTCGGTCACTCACTTCAGAAAAATCAGCAGCTCAGTGGGAAACCAGTTGTTATTGGGGGGGAGGAAGCTTCATTTGTTCAACTTCTACCTATCCCACCACTAGGCAACACAGAAAAAGGGGGAAAGATATGGCCTGACAAGAAATAGAGAAAGGGAAGCAAGAAAGCGAAGTCCACACCCACACACAAAGACCCTCACCTGCCCCGCGCGCTTGGCTCCGCCCCCTCCCCGCGCTCCTCTCCTGCTAACCGTTTCCTTGGTTTCCCAACCGTCTTTCCACACAAACTTCCCTCACGTGACCCCATCAGCGCGCTCCCTTATTGGCCACCGCTCACGCAGCGATAGTTGTCAATGACGCCCCTCTTGTCTATATTGCTAATGTTATCTCTGCTTGGTGTCAGTTACAGAATTTTCGGGCAAGGCGGTGTATCGAAGATGCCAGGAAAGTTGGGCAAAGGTTGCCGCGCTCCCTTTCTCCTAGCGCTCACCCACGCCTGCCAGCATCCCAGTCCTAACCCGCCGTTCTTCTTAACGCCGAGCAATCCTACTTTTCTCTGAAACACGCCGTCCCCCTGCTTAAAAGGCCTTCGCGTGGCTTTCCCTCCTGCTGCATAGTACTTCGCGCGCAGGCGCAGTTTCGTTCTCAACAGATGAAAACGGGATCTTTTCCTGTTCAGGGGATAAGTCCTCTTTTCTCCTTTCCAGAGGGCGTTTCTCTTAGGATTGTATTTCTCTTTCTTTACGACTTGAAATAGGAAAAGCGTAACACTTTTGTCCTTCGCCAAGCTTTTACGACCTGAAGAATAGTTTGCGCTGGCGGAGACGGGGGGGTGAGGGCGGAGGAGGAAAGGGCCTGAATCCGAGAAACGGCTGACAGGATTTGGTCGCGCGAGAGAAAAGGGATGGCATGTGGGAGAAAAGGTATAATAGTGAAAAGTAAGAGCAGGAGACCTCAAGATTGTAAAAACCTCGAAAAGGGCCGGGTACCGCTTTGGAGAAGACGGGAGCCTGGGAGGCCGTACAACGGAGCAGTTGGCTGTAGAAGGAAGCGAGGTAAAGTGCCCGGAGCTTCTTGTTTCGAACACGTGGGCAAGGAAGGTCCATTTGAGGAACCCGAGGTAGCTGAGAACAGCCGGGGAGAAGGGGGGGGGTGTTTCGAGGCTGGTCCTGGGCATGCGCTTTATCGGCCGCATATCGGGCGGCTGTTGGCAGGTTCGAAGAAAAGGGACGGAGCTGAAGCCTCCGGTAAGAGAAAGAGAGGGTTGGCTCAGGAATTCTGGGAGTTGAAGTCCACAAGCCAGAAAAAGGCCCTCTGGTCTACAAGGAAGTGCTCGAGAGGGCCGGGGTGGGTGGCGAATGGGAAGGGAGAGGAGTGTAGGAATTGGACGGGTACGCTTGGAGCTGTTTGCCGACATGATGACAGCGATGGAAGAAGGATGGGACCTTAGGCGGCAGGTCGGAGTGAAAGTCTTATTTTGAAAGTTTTGAAGGCAACTAAGCTGGTCTAGTATGTGGACAATTTCCGTATCTTTTTAAAAATGCTTTTGTAGCAAAGCACTTAAAACATACCAAAGTTTTTATTTCAACCTTTCAGATTCAACAGAGCAATGAGAAGGTGGAGCTCCTTGATAAGCTATAGAGCAGTGTTTCTCAACTATAATTTCTTCTGTAGAGGAAGACTTGTTTCCTCAGTAGTAGTGTTTCAGCATCTTTAAAATAGGTTCCCTATGATGGCTAAGGAATTCTGGGAGCCTATGTGTATATGTCTTAAAAGTTGCTGAGGTTGGGAAACGCTGCTGTATAGGAAATGAAGCTTACAGTAACAATCTGATTCCTATTACACATTTCTCTACCCACAAGGAGGAAAGGTCATATATTACCTGATGCAAATGTGTAGCAGTTATCACAATTGACAAAGCCAAAGAGCTAATACAATTTAGGTTCATGGCCCAGCTAGCCAACCAGATATCTATGATCAAATCTAATGGGACTAAGCACTATAGAAAATGGTGGATTCCAGACCTTGGATAGTGCAAATGTATCAGCATAACCACCTCAATGTACTTTTGAAATAAAAGGAAACCCATCCAATCAGGGTTAACGCAAAGATTGCAGTGAGTAAAGCACCAATCAAGCCATGTGAAGTACCACCCAGCTTCCAACCAGCCCACATGCCTTTTGGCAAACTAGCTTCCAAATGCTTCAAATATGGAGAAGCAGGTATCCCAAGAAAGATTGCCAAAATGAAAGCCCAAATAAATGAGTTTGAATATTAAAGTCATGGACCAGAGGAACTTCCATACTGCCAATGTGATGAGTGAATGCAGTAATAAATGGCCATCTCACTGGGCATCTCTCCATCAATGACTAATATCCTTACCAGGTACAATGAGTGTAAATGCTGCTTGTCAAGGCCCTAGTTAAAAATCCTTAGAAATGGGAATTTGCAGTAATGGAGGATCATCTCAAAGCTGTGCCAAATTTGGAACAGTTATGGCAGAATGCACGTGAGAGACCCCCACACACCAGGAGAGAAGGTTTAGAATCAGTAAAGATGACCCTTCTAATCCTGACCACAAGAGTCATTCAAATCCTTTGGAAACCAGGGACATACCTACAAGAGAGAAGTCTGGTTGAAATCTCAGTTCCAAGTGAATTTATGAGGTACAAGGCAACTTTCTCAGAAGGCAACTACAGAATACACTGAGAGAGACCTCTTCCTTTGGCCAGGAGAATAATCAGAGAAACCCATGTCAAACAGAAGACTTGGTGTGAGTCACATGCCAAGAAACATTTTTCAGCAGTTCAGAGTAATTCACAACATCAACAACCAGGTTGGGAAGATTCATGCTACATTAAAAACAGACGGGACATGTAATTGCAGGTACCGTAGTTGCAAGTGAAGTATATTGCAGTTTCCAGGAACTAAATTTGAACCTAAATTACAGCATATGAACACATCACTTCGGGAAATAAATGATATTTAACATTATCGAGGATCCGTAGAGAGCATGAGGGCTTGGGAGTTTGCCATTGTGGTAGAATAGGAAAAAAATCCCATTGCTCATACTCTGGCACCCAAATAGATGCCCAAAGTATACTTAACTGTTCACAGCTTAGACATTATATTAACCTGGCTGCCTACACTTATAGATGTAGGAGATTAAGCCAGCGTATCTAGGCTTGACTGCCTCATGGCAATATCAGGTTATTTGAGGGCCATTAAGGTGATGGAAACAATATAGATAATATAGTACTGTCTCAGAGTACTAGTCTGCAAGCCTGAGAAATTCTTTTCTGTGTGGATTATACAAAGATTAGTAAGAAAATAGAGTCCAACTGTTCTCATATGTCTTAATAATTGCACTCCATGTTAACTATTGACACTCCAAAGAGACACACTGGAGCAATTGTACTAGACCAAGCTCTTCACTTGGAGTAAACCTCTCCCCCTTCCCCAAAGTCTCATTGATCTCTGACAGAGAAAGATTGTTATGCCCTTATACTGTTTAGAAGCTGTAGCATTAATAGTGGGGCCATCAATTTGCACTCTGAAACCATCCATAGAACACAGGAAAATATCTGTATGCTGGGGTTTAGCATTGGACAAGTTCGATGTTAAGAATGAATATGTTCAAAAGAAGATATATCTAATAGTGGATATCAGTTTGAGGACTCGAGTTATACTCCCATTTCCCCAGACAAAATATAGTTTTATTTTTGTTCTGTAAAAAAGAAAGTCTGTGAAGAGCTGGGAGAGGACTGGTCTTTTATCCTCTTCTATAGCTTCTGAGAGATTTGGGGAATCTCCAAAAGGTTGGAGATGTTCACAAAGTGAAGCAGTAAACTACTGCTTCAGGTATTCTAGGGTTTCTGTAGAAATAGGTAACATGGAGTCAGAATTTATGCTACATTTTTGCATTTCTATATGTGGTGTTAAGTCTCATTTTCTTCATTTGTCTTATAGGCTGTAGGAATAAATGTTCAATTTCAATCTTCACTTATATTTCATACTGGGGATTTCATATTATCTTTCTGAAAAAACATTTTATTCTACTTATGTCTGTAAATTTGATTTTACTGAGAATAAGGGAAAGATGTCTAAATCCTCTAGTCATCATGCCTCTATATTAAATAGCCAGCAGATGGCACTATAGAAATTATTTCAAATTTTTGCTTTTTGAGTTTTTAATTATAGAATGGCAATGCAGAGTGTGAAAGCCCCATCTCTTCTGCATATTGGGGTTAGAAGGTAGATGCCATGTAAGATACATTCTCCCCAGAGGATAGATGGTGGCACTGTGAACTGCCAGGCATCCTAGAATGCTTCTGTATCTACTCATGCTGAACAATTATGTTCCAGACATTCCCAATTATCTTTTCCAGACATTAGATTTGATATTTATCTTAAAGCAATGAAAACATTATCTAAATATGTATAATGTTATATAGTGAGCCCTTTGCCATTTCCTGATTCACTTAAATCATTCATTAGTTACTACTCCAGGCATCTCCAGGATAGATAAGCACATTAAGCTTAAGCATCTGCCTTAAGCACCTTTTGGACCCTGCTGAAGTCCAGTATGATTTCTTCAGAAATTTGGGAGGCAATTCTGCTGTGAATGCCTAGATTTCTGGAATACAAAAATCTAAAAGGACATTGACAAAATGCTCCCAAATGACATCTAACTATCACACAGATCCTGGAAATGGGCACTTTTGTTTTTTGATAGAGCTTTAGGAGAGAAAGGCACTTAGAACATGGGTGGATTAAGGCCCAAAGTTAACCTTATCACACTGGCATGATATCATATTTAAGCTTAAAATGTGGTGATAAAGGTATCAAAATATTTGTGATCAGCACCTTATTGGAAAAGCAGTTGATGCCACCATAAAAGAAACTGGTATATCTCTCAAGAGAACATTCCTAGAACAACTTGTGCGGAATAATTATCATCCAGGCTCCAAGTTTCTCCTTGATGGGGAGGAGTGTTAAGAAAAGGGAGTGGCTCCAATGAGCATCCTGAAAGGAAGCAGATTATTTGAACTTTTTTGAATTAGATTTTAGTCCAAGGCATGGGACAGACTGCATTAGTCATACTTGTTTATTTTTGTTGGGACTTCATGGAAGGAAATGCACCCTTCCTGGCTCTTTTATTTTTTTAACCTCTCAGGGCTATTCAGTATTATCAATCATGATAGCTTTCTGGACTGCCTGCAAGGGTTAGAAATTGAAGTACTGCTTCTTCCTGAATATGCTATTCCATTGGGGGAAGGTTAGCTTGCCAAAGCATTCTTTTCTTTTACCCCTATTTTGTAACATTTCATGAAACCACTTGAAGAGTTCATACATCATCAGTATGCTGGTCATATCCCACTATGTATATTATCCAGATCTTTTTTCGATGGCTACTCTGAATAGGGTAGCACTCTTGAATATATAGTTCAAAAACTTGGAGGTCTTTCTCAGTTTATAACTATAGGATTAGGGTAGGATGGGCAAACAGAGGCCATAACTAAAAGAACTAGCTGGCATTTTAATTGTCACTTTCCTAGAGAAAGAGACCTTCACAAAAGTGATCTACCCCTTTGTCACATCCTATATACATTACTATAACGCAGCCTACATGAAGCTGCCTTTGAAGACTGTTCAAAAAGTTCAACTGATACAAAATATAGCAATCTCTTTATTCAATGAGAGCTCCTTTTCACATACAACACTTGTGCTTCAGGTTTGAAATGTGACCAATAGGTTTCCAGGTACTATTCAACATACTATTTTCGACCTATAAAGCCTTTTCGAAGTATCTGTTTCAAACAGCGCCTGCACATCTTACAGTGGGAAGGTTGAAAAAAATGAGGAAAAAGTATCCAAAACCAAATCTTTTTTAGTGGCAGCCCCTAATTCTGGAACTCTCCTGCCAGAACTTAGATAAGTGGTGAAAAAAGAATGTTTAAATGAAATTGTTAAAAGGCACCCATAATAGTATAATTTTGGTATTTTAAGTCATGTTGTAATTTTACATTATGTTTTTGTTTTTTTATACTATACACTGCCAAGAGTCCATTTAAAATGTGCGGTAGATAAAGAACTTTCTGGAATGTCCTTGGAACAGCTATAGATTATTAGTGGAAACAGGTCAAAATAGTGAGCTTTTGACTATGGAGACACCAAGATTCAAACATGGATCTACTGTACCATAACTAACAATGTTTTGTAAGGAGGTAGTTGGCAGCCTTCCTGGCAAAATAAGAGAGGATACCAAATTTGGATGATGGTTCTGTCAGCAAGTCTTCGTATCATAACTACTATTTTTCAGGAAGATTGCTAACTCTATGAAGATTTTTAGGCTTAAATAATTATTGCTGAAATACTTTACTGCTAAAATAATACATTAACCAAAATCCTTTTTCTGGTCACCATTAAAATTTCAGTGTCCAGAAAGTTTCAAAGTTAGGATTAATATGTGGCTTTAAAATTAATATAGTATTGTGGTTTTATAGTGCTATATCTTCTGTTCAACTTAAGAAAAAAAAAGATTTAAATTACATAATGGTATAAAATTGCCATTTTTATAGTAATTGTTAAAGCTATAGGGGGGAGGGGAGAGAGATCCTTAATTAAATATTTAACCACAGTTCTATGCCATTAAAAAAGAAAACTGGAAAAATATATTGGCAATAATTAAATTCCTGGTAACAATGGGTAATAAAATGATTCCCATTCTGAAGATAAAATTAATCTATGTTGATGTCAGATGTTTCAACTTACATAGCTATGACATTAACATGGAGAGGCTATAGCAGCATGGACACATAGGTTGTAATACTCCTAACATGAAAAATAAATTGTATTGCAATTTTGCTACTTATTATAATGAAACGGCAATGATTAGGTAGCACTAGGAACCATCCAAGCAGCTGTGGCTGGCTGAGGAATTCTGGGAGTTGAAGTCCACAAGTCATAAAAGGGCCAAGTTTGAAGACCCCTGATTTAGAGAGAGACCGCACATGCAAGTACAGATTTCCTAGGGTTTTTTTTTTCTCCAGTTCATTCTGAGGTATTCTTTAGACTAATGGTAAACAGCATGTATGCACCTTTTTTGTATATATTCTTAAGTATGAAGACATTTTATATAAGAAAAGGCAAGATTCTGGATGATTACGTACATTGGATCTGAGTTACTTCACAGGAAGGCATTTTGCTGTCAGCTTCCTGTCAACTGAAATGAGCTGGGATTGTATAAATGAATTATGAACCCCAGCAGTAATACTGCTGAATGTGTTTCAAGAAATGACCTCAGTATTTATTTCATATGTTCTGCTTTTTCATAGTAGTCTGACCATATTTTGAAAAACAAATTGAACGGTCAAGCCAAATTGCTTACAAAAAATAGGGAATGGTGAGACTAAAGCTGCAAGAAGCAATTACCCTCAAAAAATTCTACTTAATGCAATGCATTAGCTTCTATGAAGCATGAATAAGTACACGGCTTAAGAACTAGATGGATAATAATCATTTTTCAGTCCAAATTATTTACAAAAATCATATAATTATACACACTTCATAATCTTTTCTAACTATTTGCTCACACATACGTTCAGAAATACAACTCTTCCCAAATAGAAAATTCTACTCTGAATTTTATTTTCAGTAGCTACACAATATGTATTTCAATGAACTGTTCTGCCTCTGTTCAAGAGCATGGAATCACAAATATTAAGATTTTAGAAAGGAGGCAAATTAAATATAGGTAGTCCACCAATTATAACCATGTGTTTAGTGACTGCTCAAAGTTACAATGACACTGAAAAAAATGACTTATGACCATTTTTCATACAACTGTTGCAGCATCCCATGGTCAGGAGAGTTGTGGCATCCCCATGGTCACAAGATCAAAGTCTGGATGCTTGGCAACTGGCATGTATTTATGATGGCTGCAGTGTCCTGGGGTCATGAGACCTTCTGACAAGCAAAATCAATGGGGAAGCCAGATTTACTTAACAGTCAGGTTACTAACTTAACTGCAATGATTCACTTATCTGCTGTGGCAAGAAATATCATAAAAGCGGGCAAAACTCTTAACCACTGTCTTGCTTATCACTGTAAATTTTGGGGTCAATTGTCATAAGTTGGGAACCTGTACAATTTTGCTATAGTCACTCAAAACATTAATGAGATAGTGAATTATATTGGTCGGTCTTGTTCAATATTGTCTACTATAGCTGTGCAGCACTTTATTCAAAGAGAAAATAAAATATTTAGAGTGTGGTTGAGCTCCATAGCTGCAGCACAAGCCCAAGAAAAGATTTTTCCAGGAGTTGCGTGTATCCACATATGCTCCAAAGGATCTTTTTCTTTTTGAGTCTGAAGCATTGAACACCCTAGCTCTGCAGGTTTTGGACAAAATTTTTTACTTACTAGAAAATTAACTTTGAGCATTTTTAATGTAAAGTATGTGGTCAATTACTGAGCTTGATTTTCCCCTCTTGCAAGTCAATTGATGTCTACTTGATACTTAGATGAAAACTTCTGATTTTTAGTGCCTCCATTACTGGAGTAATGCCATAGGATGTCCCTCGGATTTATTTGCCAGTTTTTAAAATGGTAAAATCCACTTGGTCAAGGTGACCTTCAAGATAAAGAGTGAACACATGTCTTATAAATCTCCTTTTTTTGTAGCCATTCCAATGTAGAGCAAAGATGTTTTCCAAGATGCGGACTGTCTTCAGTCATAGGAAGGCATGATGAGCCATAGAGTTAAAGACTGAAAGGAAATTCATATTTGGTCCTTAAAACTTAACCCTCACAATATTTGTGCATATGTGAATCCAAACACAAAAACAATACATTTTTACAAAGTATTTTAGTGTAAATAATATCTGGAAACATTCTCCCCCCCCCTTTCTCTCTCTGTTAAGCCCTGATGAATGTACATAAAACATAAAATCTAGAAGAGAAAATCTTTCTCCACTATAAAAGGTAGAATTCTTCACATGGAACTTGAGTCCTGTGGACATTTTACCTGGAAACAACATGGGAGTGATTTATTGTATACTTTTTGATATCTCAGTCTAGCTCTAAAATTTCATAGTCCTCCATTAATGAAAAGGTCTGATCTTCTTTAGCTATTAAGATCAACTAAAATCATCACATAATGTAAAGATCTAGCTCTCTAGCGCTCCTAGAAGTCTATAATGCTGGGACAAGTGGAAGCAAAAAGTAGTAGATTACTAGAAGCAAAGTGGATGGATTCAATTACAGCACTGATGGATGCACTATTCTATTAGAAGCCCTGAAGGTCTAAAATGGGCAATAGTCCTCTAGAAAAATGGTCACTAAGAGTTAATACTGACATGGTGGCGCACAATCAGTCAATCAAGACTAGGTGCTAACATCCCCCCCAAACTACCAGCAGCAAGGTTCTGCTTTTTGGTTTTGCTAGCATATACTCTAATGTTTTAAGTATAAGGGAGCTGCAATGTAATGTTTCTTGAGAATTCAAAAAATAAAAATGTGTCTTTCTTGATATCTGAGTGTATATGAAGGGCGGGTCCCATTATCCACAGCAACTTTTTGTTTACTGTGTCCTTTGTAGGCCAGGAATCTCTATATGTGCAGAATAGCAATTCTATTCCAGCTATCCATTTGAAAAAAATCTCTCTCTCTCTCTCTCTCTCTCTCTCTCTCTCTCTGTGTGTGTGTGTGTGTGTGTGTGTGTGTGTGTATCTGTGTGTATATGTTTGTGTGTTTCTTGATGGAACACGTTATTAAATTTCAGTAGTATATCTTTATAGAAATCAAAATAACCTGACCATTTTTTTTAACATGCCTACAGTAGTTTAGAAAAATATAATAGTCCCAACCAATCTGTTTCTTTTTCAGTCTCGGCACAATCATGTGCATGCAGGTTTTCTATAAATGATCTCGTACCACATGGCTGAGGCTGCACGTGACTAAAGGTACCACACTGCACAATTAAATACTGTAGCTCTCTATGCCTGAAATATTCAATGTTTGTAAGTCCAAGCAAAATGGTGAACTCTCCTTTGAGCCAAATGGAACTCAAACTGCATGTCACATAATTTTCTTTGGCAACATGGAATGGTATTCCATTATCTTCCATAGTGTTTGTTTGTTTCTAGTCTAAGCTATAGCCCTGGACTTCCCTACTAGTTTCCCATCCAGGAAGAAATCATATCTCTTGGACAACTCAAACAACTGCTTGAATGGTTATCTCTAGCTGTTTGAAGATGTGGATATATGCAAAGCCGTTTCATTTCTCTAGCACTCCCACTGAAAAGAAAGTAACTTGCAAAGCAGCTTTGTGAGCTTTCCAGAGGAGGTGGTTACATTAATGGCTCAAAAAGGGGTATTTTGTTCATGATAATATGCTTTCTTTATGCACTTCTTTTAAACAGCTCTAATATTGATATCCAGTTAAGGAAAGACTGACTCAATGTGCAGGTTTTTTGTAATTTACTTAATTGGAAATGTTTATACTGGCAAAAATCTTTATGACTGTTTACACTTAAAATGTAATGAAAAAGATCCAGAAAATACAATATATGATTCTTAGTGTGTTGCTGATAATCTGCTCTTAATATGATATACCAACCATCATTCCTTTAGGCACAGTTGAGAGAAAGAATAGCCATAACATCCTCTGTTTTAAAAGACTAGTTCCTTTTAATTCCTCTGGTAGATATTTGTTTAGTTCCTCCTATTGCAACTAAGGTAGTACAAAGATTGTTCATAGTTGTCCTAAAATATCATAAAATAATTACTTTATTATGACATGTATTCCCTCTCAAAGTATACTTTGATACTCTGAAATAATTTATGGTTTTTGTGAGCAACGGTTCATAACCCAATGTCTACTTAAACTATTGATACAAGCCCGTTTGTGTACATTTTTGGCAATATTGGCCAGGCCTGAGAGCAACTGAATATTGCCTTTTATAATAATAGACACATCTATTCAGAAAGTCCTTCTAGAATGAAACAGGATACACATACAAATAGCAGAGCCTGGGAAAATACAACAGTAACTTTAGTTACTAAAGTAACTAAACTTTTCTCATTGTTATTTTACATTTCTGTTATTTTCATTCAGAATTACTTGATTCTGACAATTATAGGATAGAAAGAAACAAGAGACAATGGAATGACCAGTATATTATCTTTATCTCCACATTATTAGTAAATCCCTCACATATAGCCACCTTCCCTATTTTCCTTCTCTAATAATGCAAATTCACAGATATACAGTATTTTTTTATTTTATTTATTTTATGAGACTTATATACCGCTTTAAGTGCAAGCACTCTCTAAGCGGTGTACACCAGTAAGCAATGTATATATATATTTACATTGCCCCCAACAATCTGGGTCCTCATTTTACCTACCTCGGAAGGATGGAAGGCTGAGTCAACCTTGAGCCGGTGAGATTTGAACCGCTGACCTGCTGAACACAGTCAGCTAAAGTGGCCTGCAGTACTGCACTCTAACTGCTGCGCCACCTCGGCTTTTACAGTATGTACTGGTGTGTCTATCATAGTGAAAGCATCTATTGGTGTCTACAAATATTGCAAAGAGGTGTTTCAGAATATCCAAGAGTATACAAAGAATATGGTTCAGATGGCTTGAACAGAATCATTCAGGTCATTAAAGAACCTTTTAAGTGATCCACAGACCTCTGCATGGCCATCTCTTTATATGTATGTGGCAACATGCTTTAAACTATTGGCACCAATGATTTTAAAAAATAACAAACTTTCTGACCTTAAGCAGACTCATTATCCACTCGTCCAAAATTAATTTTGTTACTCCTCAAATGGAAGGCATTGGATGAACAGAAAATCCTCAGTCTATGCTAGGATGTTAAGAGACTGATGGGATATAGCCCTCGTGCACTTTATATGATCAAAAAAAAAAAAATGGAAACGGCAGGCAGATTCTGCTGGAAAATTTAATAAGAGTTAACAATTTTGTTAACTTCAGTGAAAAAAAAATGCATTGGGGATCATTTGTTACAAATTTCAGCAAATACAACATAGTTACTCCAAAACAGAAAAATTCTTAAATATAGTTTATAGAGTTATTTAGGAAATAGATTGTTTATATTCTTGGTATATATAGTTAACAAACAGGGCAGAGGTTCATATGGAATGGAAACACCAATTTTTTTATCTGTTTACACTATATGATTATTATTGTTCTGAACTTGAGCCTCTGAGTCTTTGATACAGCAAGAAGGCAATGACTTTTGTCCAAAAATACTTCTCTCTACAGTACACACTTTTGCAGGGTAGGATTTCTAAAAGCTCACTGCCAGCACACTTGACCATGATGATCTGGGCATAAAGAAGCAGTTCATGTCAAGAAATATATATATATCATTTTAAGCAGTGGAAAGTATTTAGAAACATGGAATCCAAGAACATCTCATTGTCCTCATGTGAAATCTGTATACAAGGCCTAAAAGCTAATGTATAGACAAAAAAACATAGTGACCTAGATTGCCTCCAGGTTGCTAAGGAAGTTACAGAAAGCAGTATATTCCACCACTCAACCTGTATGTTGAACATATATTAAGGGAAAGCTGGACTGGAATATGAGATAGATTTAAAATTGTTAAGATGAAATATCAATCTGAGCTATGCTGATGACACTATTTTGATAGTCTAATTCTAAGATATAAAAAAAATCAAGTACTGTACTAATAATAAAAATCAAGAAGCTGTATTCTGCAAAACATGGGTGAAGCAGCCATCTCCCCCCCCACCCCCATACAACATGAAGTATGATTTTTTTTCAGGCCTTCTCTACAAGCTCCTTTTTTGTGCTGTTAACTTTGAAGTCCAACTTCCTCGCCTATTTTTCCTCTAGGCTCTTTCACAGCACCTTTCCTTTTAAAGTCTGTTTCCAAAGAGAAATTGGTTTGCTGTTTCTCCCTAGTGTTCTTCTAAAAGCCAGCTGGCACAGAATACTAAATGGAAAATGCACAAAGGCACAACTTCCAAAAGCATTTGGAATTGTTCTAGGAACTCCTGAAGCTGTTCTTTAGAGTTTTTTACCGGGAGATCTTGAAGGGTAGGTTGGGCTGCTGCTAGATGGCTATTACTTCATGCTAAGAGATCCTCAAAGACCCTGAAAATATAATGCCTGTTCAAATAATTATTTGATTGCATTAGCATTCTCATTTGGTTCAACCTACTTTTGCCTGTCACACAATAGCAATTCTACTGGATCATAGTAGAACAATGGCAAGAAAAGCACATAAAGGCATAGTAAAACCACAGACTACTGTAAACATCCAGCAGAGTCTATGATACCAGACCCTTGATGTTTTCTACCAAAAATCCTCCCCCCTTTAAAAAAATTGCTAAATATGCAACTCCCAGCATAAATATTTTTTAAAAATAAGCTCACTTTTTCCATAGTTCAAGACACAGTTTAGATAGCCTCGTTTTTCTTGAATACACTTTCAAACAAAAAACCTATTTATGAGATGTAAAACTAGAAATAGCAATTTTAGCTGTTTTAGTTAGGAATAAGCTAACAGAAATGCTAGACAGTACTTAATAAAGCGAGTGTCATTCATTATAAATTAACAAATACAGATTTAAAGAATATATTTTACATATTGCTTTCCTTATCAATTAAGGTTTTGTAGGTGGCTTGTTATATAATATAAATTTAACATTAAAATATTAAACAATTGTTTTTATAGTTAAAGGATTGGTATTTTTGAGCAGATTTAATAAGATTGATTTCAAATGCAATATCTTATTCCAAATTTAGTAAAACTTTTAACATAGTAATGTCACATGACAGATTACTAGAAACCATTGCATAAATGTTTAGAGTATATGATGTAATTAAAATATTTTTACAATAATCAGGAAACTACATATGTTTAGATTAATGATGGTGCTATTTTCCCCATTTTTAAAATCGAAACTATGACATTATTATTTTTAATATTCTACAACTAAGATTTTTTTTTTGATTGGAAAAATAGCGATAGATTTTTAGAGGCTTTAAAATCATTTATTAATAGATAAGTTTATTATATAATTATAAGAGACCATGTTACTCCTCCCCCAATATTCTATGCAACTAGGTATTTGTGAAAAAATACCAAAAATAAATTATGAAAAAATGAATTTATATTTATTTATGAAAAAAAAATAAATTATGTATTACAGACTACAAACCAGCCCTTGAGATAATTATAAGAATTTGATAACTTAGTCAAAGAAATTTGCAATGTGAAGAATTTGTAATAAAATTGGCTGCTTAATTGCTTTCCTTACAATTTTGGCCCATATTCGCTCTACTGTTTTATATTTTAAAATATATTAAAGGATTAAATATATAGACTTTCCTACCCAGTTCAATTTAATAAAGTACGTTATGCACAATTGTTATGTAATATGTCAGGTCTGTTGTTCATTCTATCTTCATTTATATACAGGCAGTCCTTGACATATAACCATTTGTTCAGAGACTATTCAAAGTTGCAATGATTTATGACAGATTCCTGAAGTAATGGCTGTTGCAGCACTCCTGGGATCACATGATTTTGATCTGGGTATTTGTCAACCCATTCACATTTACAACTGGTTGCCAAGTATCCCATGATCATGTGATACCATTTTCAATCTTCCCTGCCAGCTTTCACAGAAAGTCAGTAGGGAAGCTGGCAAGGAAGGTTGCAGGCTGTTGCTGCCTGATGAGGGGACTTCCATTCCTCTCCATGGCCTAACTGAAAAACCGGAATTTTCAGCCACCCTCATGGATTTCAGCATTGAACTTTTTCAGCCAGACCCAAGACAAGAAGGCAGTCCTTGACTCTGACCTGGCTGAAAACACCCCATTCCAAAATTCTGCTTGGATTTCAGCACAGAATTTTTTCAGCCAACCCTCAGAGTCAAGAGGCTTCCCTCTCAACTCTGGGGCTGGCTAAAAGTGTTCTGTGCTGAAATCCAAGCAGACTTTTTAGCTATGGAAAATTTTCAGCCCCAGAATGGAGAGGCTTCAGAAGCATCTTGGTCTGGGACTGAAAATCCAAGCAGTTCTGTCCTCAACTCTCCCACACATCCCCAAGTACCCCCTTATTTCCTCCCCCATCTGGCAGAGCCTGAGACTTGCAATTTCCTAATGGCTTCCCCAGTGACTTGATTGTGGGAAGCTAGTAGGAAGTTGCTTTAATTAATGATTGGGGCATTCACTTAACAATAGCAATTTGGACAATCTGGATTGCAAAGCAGTCACATTTTACAATCAAATTAATTAGCAATGGCAGTCATGCTCTCAATTGCCATCATAGGTTGAGGACTATCTGTGGCAATTACAGTATAACTTCAGATTTTTGCAATCCTTATCTGGTAGATCTATCTTAGGGGTGTCAAACGCTATTTCATTGAGGGCCGCATCAGGATTGTGGTTGACCTTGGGGGGCTGGGGTGGGGGTGACCAGGGTGGGCGTGGCTGCCTCAACATTGCTCATGTCAGGGGGCGCCTGTGGTGGCCTGGGCGGGGCTGGGGGGATCCATTGTCTCCAGCCAAGAAAGGCGAGGTCAGGGTGAGCACTGTACCCTTGTCCACCAGAAGAGCCTTGCTGTCCCTCTCAGGCCATGCAGAGGACCCCAGTGGATTCACTTTTGACTGGCCTTAGAAACTGAAGTTATAATAAATAACAACACTGTCTGCACCCTTTTCTCCATCTGAAGGCTTATTAATGTATTACTGCATTTATATGTAGCCTTTTCCTTAGTGTATGCCAAATTAACCAATTAAAAAACAACCATTTAATGTATGAACCAAAATACCCAGCTACAACAGTACTTAACTGCTTACAGAAAATAAAATTGGCCACAATTGAAACAAAATAAGGGCAAATAGAATAAGGAATTGTTATTTGTATAATATTGTTACTGCTAATTTAAACCATACATTTGAAAGATAAATGCAAATTTCTTATGCGGAAAAGTAAGTACATTACTTCATGTAAAGTTTTTTTTCTTCTGTTAGTAAATGTGGGCATATAAATATCTTTACTCTAACAGTATATAAAGGTGATATACTTGAATAAAAAGATGAAAAATTGGGAGTTGTAGTCCACCTTAAAGTTGCTGAGGTTGATGAAAACTGAAAAAAACTAACAGGAGGGTGTTAGACTTAAAGAGGCTACTTTATTAAAACATTTTCTGTAAATACACAACACTATAACTGGAAATCTCATCAGTTTTAAGGTAAGTGAATTTGTGGCAAGTACTATGAAGCTCTTCACTAAGTGAATAAAAGTGCAAAATATTATATGTCTTATTATTTACAAAATGCATTCCATTCTGAACATAAGCCTGCTAAACCACATTTGTGATTCCATTCATAGGATCCTACAATTTGTCTTTCTAATTTGTTCAGTTTAAAAGTCATAAGTGTTATCAGTCTCTTTAATAATAAAAAAATTAGAGAATAACTTTTGCTTTAGGTTATGATGTAAATTCATCAATGGAAAATCTTGGTGAATTTTTTTCAGAAAGCACAAAGATGTAAGAAATACAAAAGAAAGGGATAGAAGAAGAGGCCTTTAGTTGCAGTTTTTAGAAAAATAAAAGATATTTATGTAGAATTTCGCTATATAATATTGTTAATCAGCATTTTAAGAACAAGAGTGAAATAATAGATAATATATAATATTTTGTGTAGTTCCTAAGTAAAATACTTTCTCCCAAAGCAAAAGATTTCATACTTTATGTCACTAATAGTGTGCCTTAATTTGCAAAAAAAGCACCTAATTTCTATGTCTTCTACACTGTTACGCATTTCCTTAGAACAAATGAGCTCTGATGTTTTGAAATATAGGAGATTCACTTATGATTAGGGTGATCTCCCCATGCTTAAAAACTGCTTCCAACCAGATAAACAGCATTTCAAAGAAAACATTAATCTACCCCTTTTTAGCATCGTGATTTTTGTAGGATTCAATAATGTAACCCCACCCATATGAACTTTTAAAATGTATAATCCATTATCAATCAGATATATGGATGCATTCAGCTCAATACTAAGCATTGCAAAGGAAAATCAGTTATGGGGGATAATCTCTTTTCAGCATTTTGTATAGTATCACTCTTTATTCTCCTTCCAAAATCTTAAGCATTCCTCAGATTATATCAGTTCTAATGTTTTCAAACATGGGAGAATCAGTTTTGATAAGGATGACCTATCAAACCTGATATATATACATGTATATTTTTTGCAGGACCCATATAAATAGTCCGTCCATCTCCAATCTGCTGTCACCTAAATGTGCTGGAACTGCAGCTCACAGAACTACACAATCCATTAAATAGGAGCTATTTTCTAAGACATATCTAGAGAGCTTTGGATTAGGAAAATCTACTTTGATCATGGGCACACAGACATGATATTAACACGCAGAAAGTTACGTTAATATCAAATTCTTCCAAATTAACTGTTAAAGAGCAAAACCAAAATATTATTTACTATATTTTTTAAATCAAATGTGTCACATGAACATTTTTATTATTACGTAATAAAAACTTTATTATTTAATCACAGTCATAAAATATAGGTAGAATTAAACAAATGATTCCAAACACTGCAGGCAAAGAGGAAGATGAATGAAAGTACTTAAGAGTGTAATAATAAAGCCAATTAGTCTTACTACACTAACAAAGTAGCTTGACTTTAACAATACAGACAGTGGAGTTTGTTCTCCAATCTCTATCAACCACATTCCATTTCAACTGGTGACTAAAACAATTGTTATCTTGTCACTTACAATTACAGAGGAAGGGCAATGCTTTTCAGTTTGTACAATTCTTCTGACTTTGGAAATACATTTATCATCCAGTATCATCAAGTCTAGCTCCAATCATTAAATCCACTGAGAGGCACTCACAAGAAAGTTGTATTTTCTCTGTCTGGATCTACAAACAAAACAAATATTCTGTTATCTTCAGAATAGACTTCGAAAAATCAAGACTGCATATTTGTATCATATCTCATTATGTGATTCACTAAACTGGATGGTATTTTCAGCACACATATATTAGCACAAGTTTACAAATGAATGTTTCTTCCTGCTTCTACTGTGAATTCACCTCACCCCAATCTACATTTTTCTTGTAATTCTGTTCTGAGTCAAATAACCAAGCTCTACAGGACCTTATGATATGTGCCAACAAATTCCAATTTATTTGGCAGTCAACCAACCAAACCAAGTGCTCAGATCAAAGGTGCTGTCTGGGCATATCTTCCTGGAGGCAATCAGCCAATTCACACATTAAAAAATTGTATTCTGTTCATAAATTCCAGATGAACTATGTAGTTTCAATAATTTCCAATCAGTTCTCTGAAATCCTGGCTGCAAATGTGGGAACTGGTCTAACAGATTCAGAGAGCATTAATTTGATGAAGGCAAAGTAACTAGGCCTATAATGCCCTAAAATAGACAAAAATCAAGGTTGAACAATTAACTTGATTCTATACCTTATCGTGCACTTTTCTTAAGGCCCCATTCAAATTGCACTCAATTTACTATCTTTCTCCTGACACACCAAACTTTCATTTTACAAAGAACAGGAAGACCTCGCTTAACAACTGCTCTATTTAGCAACTCTTCAAATTTTATGATAGCACCGAAAAAGTAATTTTACAATTGGTCATTATATTTGCAACCACTGCAGCATCCCTGCAGTCATATGATCGATATTTGAGCACTTTGCAACGGGGGGGGGGTGCAATATCCCCATGGTCATGTGATTGTCATTTCTCAATCAGCTTCTGACAGGCAGTCAAGGGAGAAGCCCATAGTAAAGTTGCAAGTTTTGGTCACGTGACATTTCATTTAGCAACCTCAGGTGACTCCCAATGACTGAATGGAAAGTGATGTTGTAAGTCTATCACAGTCACATGATGTTTCACTTAGCGATTATATTGCTTAGCAACAGAATTCCTGATCCCAATTCTAATTTCTATGCAAGATCTTCCTAAAGATAGAAAGAAAAGCAGTTGCTCCTCACAACAGATCATAGATCACTCACTATCTTTCTATCAGGAGTTATTTGATTTTTATCCCACCTTCATTACTTTACATGAAATTCAAAGCAGGAGATATGCGTAATATTCCTTTTTCTTCTAATTTTCCTACAACAACAACCCTGTGAGCAGAGTTGGGCTGAGAGAAAGTGACTAGCTCAAAACATCCACGCATCTTAACATTTTTCCATCCATTTTCTCCATCTACAGAAGAGGTACACAAATTCATTGTGCATAAGGTGCACAAATTCATCAACTTTTTCTTGTTCCCACAATTTATGAAAATCTTCCAATCATTCATCACTTTTCTAATCAAACAAAACTATTATGATTACATTAGTTTTCAGACTCAAAGTTGCACCATACAAGAAATCTAACATTCACTGCAAAGCATTTGGGTTCTCAGCCAACGACACAATATTATCTGCATACATAAATAAATATACCTTCACATCATCAACTAATGTATCTTTAATGTCACTGAAAGCATTCCTTTTTACTGATGCAGAAATATATTAAACAATCAAGGGAACATCCTTATCTTTCTCCCTGCTCAACACAGAATCATTTTTAAATCATTCTATTTATTCTAATTCATGCTTCTATCATAAATCACCTTTCTCACATTTAGCAACCAGTTTTCAACTGCTTATTTGTGCAAAGCCTTCCTTAATTTAAATGTATTCACTTTCACACTTGGGTTTTCTCTAAATCCACAAATGTCTAGTAAAAATTCATCGATATGAATATTTTTGTTACCTGATAATGGACAAAAATCTGGTCTGCAAAACCCATGCCTGACATGAAGCCACAGTACAAGTCCAAAAGTTTATTGTTATCACTTTTTGAGTCAGGATTCTGCTGAATACCTTACCAGGCAATCTTAAAATATTGCTTTTTGTAGCCTCTCTTGCTAGCTTTTTCTTTACATAGCAAAACAATAATGGAAATCTTTCAAATATCAAGCACAAATGCATCTTAATGCAACATTAAACAAGTGACACAACCATTCGTCCTCATATTCATATGTAAAATTTTATCCCCATCTACAGTCTTACTATTATGCAATATCCTCCCAGCATTTAAGACCTCTTTTCATCCATTTTTTGGGACACTAATATTTACTGTTTTTTTTTCAATTACACTCTTCGATATAACATTTACCATTCCCATAAACATCTATAAATTACTTCTTCCAGTATCTCAAATTATGTCATCACTTTTATTTTTAATTCCATTTAATGCTGAATGCATCTTGTTTATCCCTTCATTCATTTCTAAAACAATCTTTTATTTTTATTAAAATTACTCTGCATTTTCTCTGCCTCTTGTAATCTCAAGTATTTCTTATTCCCTTTGACTTCTTTACTGAAGCTATCTTTTTCTCCCTGTGGAATAATTGCTATATCATTTTCTGAGGATTGCTCTTCCTAATTCATGTAAATCATGTCTTAGACTGGAATCCAGAAAGCACACACATTTTGTGATATTTCTAAGGGAGGGACTTCCAGCCAACTTTGGCTCATTTTGGAGAAGTTAAACAGGATGGGAAATTCTCAGAATATTCCATAGCTAGAACCTAGACTGGATGTAAAAAAAAAAGTATATATCTAGAGAATTCAACTAAGTACTTCTGTATTTTTACAAAAATATCTATATGGTTGCATCCATGCAATCATCAGAAGTTGAGCCAAATTCAAGGGACATTTTATCATTCAAAAGTAAAACAACATTTGGTCTCATGAAGCTCAAAGATACATTCTGAAGAGATTAAACAAAGTTAGTAGAAAAAATGTGAGACATTACCTTGTAAACTTCAAAGGGATTCATTGAAACTTTTTCAAAAACCCATCAGTGTTAACTATGGACCTTAATCACATTTCTGGACCCTAAACAACTGCAGAACTTTCTTGCACCTCACTGATATGCATGAATAACACTGATACAAACATAGCCTAATAATATATTCTTAATAAGCAAAAAAAAAAAAGCAGCAAAGTAATAAAATCTACCTAAACATTTGTTTTCTTCAGGTCAATAGATTCAAGTAAATCTGCCATGCACAATAATACATATATACCATTAATTAATAAGTTTCAAAATTAATTCACTTCATCCTACTTTGAAGAAATTATATGTAATTCACCGCTGAGCTTATTAGTTTTTTTTTAAAAAAATTGCTCATTAAAAAGCAGTGAATATGAATGTCTACAAACAATAGAACAATATTTCATCAGTTTTAGATGAATTTCCCTGATTACACTATACATAGCCTCACTTCTTCCCAAAAGTAAACTGAGTTAACATCAGAGCAACCTAATTCTAAGTTTGGACACGAAGTAATTTGCATCTGGAATGTATTACTTCATTGTATTGAACATAGTAATCTAAAAATTATCAAATTCTATAGAATTCTACTATGGAAAATATTTGACTATGAAATAAACATCAGGACTATGAGATTATAAATCTAGCATGTATTCCACCAAGGCAGTTTCACAAGTAGTTGACAATACAGAGTCAATTGCAATTTTGGAATATAAATCTGACACCAATCTTTATTATGCTGGTTTAAATATAAATCTTCCAACACAATTGAAATAAGAGTTCCAAGAAAATCTGCAGCCTTCAAAAGCACAAATTTGGGACTTTTTTTCATGGACATTAACAAGGTTGAGAAATCCTTGAGAAAAAGAGAAGTTTGTAACTACTTGATAAACGTTCCAGAGAAGAAAAAGATTTATTCCATGAGGATAAGCTGGAAGGAATGACTTGAACTTAATGAGCCAATTGGAATTAGGATGGATTTTTATTGGTCTAATATTTATAATTGAAATAAAGTTTTATTGTAAAGTTTAAACATGTATTTTTTTATTTATATATAATGCTTAATTTCTAAAGCTTGTAAAATATTGTTGAAAGTATATTTAAAAGTATCTATGTTAAGAGAAAGTTAAAAAGATGTTAAAGTTAAAAAAAATAGAGTTTTAAAACGGATATATACAAAATAAAATTCTATGAGGGTAACATAGAGGGAGTGATTTAAACTTAATGAGTTAATTGGACTTTTATAGGTCTGAAAGTGAAGTTTAAAGTAGTTATGTTAAGGGAAAGTTTTAAAAAAGATGTATTAGAATGTTTTGATTTTAGAAATGCTTTTAAAGAAAAATTTAATGTTTTAAAATGGATGGAAAAAAAGTATTTTTTCCCCTTTAAGGTTAAAGAATCTGAAAGAATACAGTGAATTTTGTTAATATAAATGGTGATAGTTTATAAAGATTATTAAGTGCAAACAGAAATATATATTATTTCCACAGCAAGTAAAATAAAGCAGAAATGGTTAAATTGATTGCTTTATTCAAAGAGGAGAACATATTTGTTTTTTACTTGTATATCATTTCTGGATTTTGTGATAAAAAAATTAAACTTTGACTTTGGTTTTGCCAATTAGATAGATTTATTGTTATAGAAATGGCTAGTTATATACAAATGTATAAAAGTAAAAAGTTGAGGCTGTAATATTATCTTCTACTGTGCTAAAAAGAGTCGGAAGTCAATGCTTTTCCCCTTGTACCTCATATTTTCTTCCGCCCTTCTCTTTTTCCTTTCCTTAATTTCCTATTTTTATTTTTCCTTGTATTTTATACTTTAATAAAACAATAAAAGTCATGAATGTAAAAAAAATAAATCTAGCATGTATTAATCAGAATTTTACTGGGTTATCACAATTTAAAACAGAAATAGATCACAATATGTTATGTATGCCTGTTTAATAAAATATTCAGTATCTTTAAAGTTTTAGTAGGGAAAATGTTATAGTCTCAGATATCTGATTGACCTCAGACCATTTATGGCTAAATACAAGGCTGTCTGTTATGAATAATCTCATTTATTGCAATTGGATTATTCAATACTCTGGCTAGATTTAATGGAACTGCTCCTATTAGTAAGTATCCATCATATGCAGGATTAAAGAAAGAAGGGCATACTAGCATATTAAACAATTACAATGTAAAATACTGGTGTATGCATGTAGAAATTAAAACAAATGCAAAAATGTAACCTTCAGTAACTATACAGAAATAGATTCATAAACTGTATATTGTTTATTTGTTTAAATTTAGAGGCTGCCCTATACTAGAAAACTCTTGGTGTATTACATTAGGAAATAAAAAGCAATAATATCAGAAAGAAAAATCATGAAAACAAAAACAACCCTGAACACCCAGGACAAACATAACCACCCAAAAAATATCCACCTCAAAACACCTAAAGAACCATCCCCCCTCTAAGGGCAATCCAGGTTAATCTACTCCAGGATAAAGAGCTGTCCTTTGAAATTTAAAGACCATTATCTACAATTGGTCCAATGTGGGATGGTACACAGGTGTTTTTGATTTCCAAGTCTAAAGTTAAGAGAGACTGACTAGCCCTAAATCACCTAGCCAGCTTCTGTGCCTAAGGAAGACTTTTTTTACTCACAGTCCAGCACTGTTAACTATTAATATACTGGGTCTCTGACATAAACTATATACTGTGTACGCATACACACACACACATATCAAGAAGGAAAAAATTCTGTAAGCAGTAGTATCAAAATGGGAAATGACATTTGTAGATTGCTGACATTTATAGGCATGCCCAGATGAGCGTACATTAATGTAACTGCTTTGTCAATATTTAAAATATTGTATTTAAATCTGATCAATATGTGTTATGCTTAAAAATACCATTGTAAGAATAATACCTATCATTGGTTGAGGTCATGAAAAAAGAAAACAATGGAAAAAAGCAATTATCAAAACTGTATGACTTTATGAGAAGGGACTGAAAAGATTCAAAGAAAAATTGAAAGAAATATTCACAGAACAAATAGGTTTAAAGGCAAACAGTCTATCTGATGTTCTGTGAACTGATGGGGAGTGCTACTGGCACAATTTTTTTTCTGGATATATATGTGTTGAATAATATATAACATAACATAGCAACATAACAACATATAACATATTTTTCATATACAAATATACTCAAAAACCTAACACAGTGTTTTATTAATTTCTATTCTTCAGTTCTGAATATATCTTTGAAAAAAGATGCAATTATGAGTTAAATATGGGATCTTGAATTAGAACATTATGCATACCTTTTGAGAAATTTTGGACATCTCCACTTAATGCAAATTTTCCATCCATAATACTTTTAATTAATTGGCCTCTTTGGGGTTCAAAATATAATAGAATTACTATTTCTTTTATCACTAAAACTTCAGTATATTATTTCAGAGAACCTGTGCTTTAATACCTTTTCTTATACTAAATTGCTGGTAATTGAAGTAGTCCATAAATTAAAGTTCACTAAAAAAATGATATGATAGATGCTGGGCCCATTGTATTATATATTTACATTAGCGAATGAATGATAAGAATAATTTTTTATTATTTGCTATGTTAAAAGATAAGTGCTGTTTACTCCCATTAGTATTGTTTACATTTAATGACATCTTGATTTGCATCAGCAGCATTTGCAGCCTTTTCTGGTATCAGAAGAGATATATTAAATCTTATGAAATCAAAAAACCCACAGCTTTATAATTATATGTTATCAATAAATTTTGTATGCAAATTTTAAAGAGTGACCAGAATAAGAAACTGGAGAAATCTGTTTTCCATTGGGAAATTCCCTGAACCTCATGAAGTCTTAGATTGCAGCTTATACAACAAATACATCAGCATTATTAGGCTCCATTTTGTTTGTACAGAAAAGGAATTACATCTTCATGCTGTTGGAAATGCATCAAAATAACACTTCATTAAAACACATGTTTTTGCAATGTGGTAAAGTTACTGTATTCTGGGAAGAATTAGGGGTACGTATAAATGTGACTGAGACAAAGTTTAATATTTTCAGACACACACATTTCTTTTACTTACTCTATGGAAACTGATCACTGGGTGATGAAAATGGATTCTCTGTGCTCTTATAATTGGCAATTAGAAAGACAAGTTTATGATCTAATTACTGAGTAGATTGAAGACCTGGTGTTATTTACAGTTAATGAATGAATTTCCTATAGATCTAGGTTATACATGGATGATTACAATGGAATTTGGTTAGCTTTTACCGAAGCTCGTATAACAGTTTTTATTTAATAAACGAAAAATGTCTCCAGGAAGCAATATGTTTCAGAAATGTATGGAGTTGTCATAGAGGGCAGGGCAATTTAATGCATATCAGATTTACAAGAGTTGCTTTCTTAGCTTTTGGTTAATAGTTGGGGAGATTCGGGTCTATTCCACAACTTTCAATAATCTTATTTATTTTAGGTGGAAAACTCCTATTTTTGGCAGTTGTGCCATGTAATTTGACAGTGCAAGTGGAGACATCTACAAAGCTACAAAAAAGAGTAGAGGGGTCATGTTTCACATCTCTGCTTCATGGCTGAAGTACTAGATAACATATTGCCTCTTAAGTATAGGAAAGTGAATTATAGGTGCTGCAGTAGCAATCAGAAAAGTATAAGCAGTCTGACCATACAATGGAGTAATCTTACCTATAAATACTTCTCTATGTCCAAGAAACCCTTATCTCTTTTTTTTTTCCTGGAATCAAAGCTATCAACCCCATCATAAATAAAAGCCAATACTTTATTATGTGTCTGACCAAAATGGACATGTACATAAGTGGCCAAAATTGTGGAAACCTTTGGGGAAAAGTGTACATTTGAGGTTTGATGGCTAATGACACCACTTTTTTTGGAGTAGTACCATAAAATTATATATCAGTGGAAAGATAATTTAATCAAGAATGTAATGCAACAAAGTTTGTTCAATTATCTGTACTGTATTCTATGAAACGTTATAGCCAAGTAAGCAGAAAAAGGAAGCACAACTTGCTTAGGCTGATATCAGGTAGCTTTCCTTCATCTGATTGTAGCCAATGAGCATGAGTGTTTAGAGAGCCAATCAGGTGTCATCTTGTTTTGGCAATGAGCCAATCAGATCAGAGTAGGATTCAGTTATTGATGTCATGTATTGAAGCTGAGAGGAGGACATTTGTCAGTGTGTTAGGTGATCGCTATTAAGTTGGTTGGGTTTTTTGTGTTCTTTCATTTAGTGAGCTTGTAAAACGTAATAAAATTAAAGTAATGGTGCAAAGAGTTGAGTTGCCCAGAAAGCTATGTAAAATAGTATTATTAAGTGAACAAGGCTACAGTTATAAAGAAATTAGAAGAAAAAATGGTGGAAACTTAACCAAAGGTGGCATTTCTACTGTACACTTTTCCCAAAAGGTTACCACAATTTTGGCCACTATTGTACAACTACCAGAACCTGTCTTAAGTACCCCTTATTCAGTGCTATTGGAACTTCGAGCAGTTGATGACTGAGTAGATCTTAAATGAGAACTACCTGCAAATAATGTCATGATGTTTTGTGTACTTCTTGCTTCAAAAAACTGCACTGATTTTGCTACTTATAGTAACCATGGGCCATAAAAGAGATTCATGGGAATCACAGATAATTCTGAGCCCATAGATTATATGAATCAGTGTACATTGTGATCCTGTGTTTATTCTTCTTGTTGCATTTTCTACAGCCTTAAATCACTTCCCAGTTGGATGACAGCAATGTGCTCTATGTGGGGCTACCTTTGAAGAGCATTCAGAAGCAGCAACTAGTCCAGAAGCCCAAGTTTTGGGATTGCCGAAGGCTTCATGTACAATTCAAGGTGTAGTCATCGTGTGTATTACATTGTTGGCATGTTTTTAATATTGTTAGACACTCTATTATTAGAATTGTGATGGGGTAATCACCTAAATCATATGTGTATTTAATTTAATTGCAACATATTTAGTCCATCCAAATGAAATAGTATACAAAGCCATTGGCCATTTGCTCCCTCAGTATCTTCTTCTTTTACGAATCAGTTTTAAAATGCATGGTAAACTAAGCAGAGGATATTAATATCTGAGCTACATTCAATACAAATAATGGATACATAGCTTAAAGCTAACCCTCTGCCATTTTAGACACGTCTAAATTTATTGCATTGAATATAGAGTAAACTAATTATCTAATTTCTACATAAATCACTATCATGACTAAGTTTCTTCACTGTTTTCAGTGGAACTTTAGTGTACCTACCTTAGTCTAGTGCAATGTTATTCAAACTTGGCAGCTTTTAAGATATGTGGACTTTATCTCCCAGAATTTCCCAACTATGAAGTCCACACATCATAAAGTTGCTAAGTTTGAAAAACAGTGCTCTATGGCAAATCCTTTGGTTTAGCATGCTAAGTTCTGTATATACAGGTAGTCCTTGACTTACAACCACAGTTGAGCCCAAAATTTCTGTTGTTAAGTGAGACATTTGTTAAGTGAATTTTTCCCTATTTTACGACATGTCTTGCCACAGTTTTTGAGTGAATCTCTGAAGTTATTTAATAACCCAGCTGTTAAGCGAATCTGGCTTCCTCATTGACCTTGCTTATAAGATCGCAAAAGGTGATCATATGACCCCCGAGACACTGCAGCTGTCATAAATATGAACCAGTTGCTAAGCATCTGATCATATGACCATGGGAATGCTACAAAGCTTGTTAACTGTGAAAAATGGTCATTAATCACTTTATTCAGTGTAGTTGTAACTTTGAGTGGTCACTAAATGAACTGTTGTAAGCTGAGGACTACTTGTATTGCAGCCTTCTTCAAGTTCACAGGTTTTTCTGTTGCTTGTCTTTCTACTTCCAGTGTTTCATTTTAATGAACAGCTGTGTCTGAGCCAGCAGTACAATGTGACTTCCAGCAAAATACAGAAAGTACCTTATCGTTACAGGGTTACTTCCTGTGTGTTTTATGCTTTCAATTTCACATTATAGCACTAAATTGATGGAATTATGCAACTATGGAAAATCACCATTTGGGATCTTTTGTAAGCAGTCTCATGACTAGCTGCAGCTCCTCTACTGTAAACATCTTACTGCCTACTTTTAGCCCAGATTTCTTAAAGGTCTAAGTAGAAACCTTTCTCAGAATTTATTGTTCATTAATTATGACCCTGTTTTTTAAAAAGATGTTACAATTGATAATGTTGAACTATTGTTTTCTTTCTTATGTAAAATTCATCTGGAATTCATTCACATGAACTCAGTTTGGTGCTTTGTAGTCTAGTAATAATGACCATTATTGAGACCAGAATCACGGGCACTGAGTGAAGCAGTTATTAAGTAAGATTACAAACCTGGCACTCCAGGCTGTGGTCATTAAGCATCTCCCAGATCATTAAGTGGCCAGAATAAAGGCCCTGCCCATTAAAGAATTTCAGTTCTGCACCTGAAATCCTCCTGGCTGTTAGTGAGTACTGCCTGCCTGAGGGTTCCCATGCATGGAGGGGAAATCCTTTATGGAGCTGCTGGAATGGGTGTGGGTTAGCTCTGTTCCTGCAGCCTGCCAAAGGATTTCCCCTCCCCTCCATGCACAGAAAGGAAATCCTTGGTACAGGCTGCAGGATTTACATGCCCCTCTGATCTGACATGTTAAGTATGGACCGTAAGTATTTGGCTGCCTGCAAGGACTACTTGTATTTGTACATTCCACAATTACCTTCTGCATTTCAATTATGGAGACATTTAGAACAATAAAAAACAAATTTAGTTCTTCCTAAGAGCCTACCACTTTGCAGCACAATCTACCTACTCTTTATGTGAAGCGGTAAAGGCCTTCTCTATGTCCCATCTAAAGAAGAAACACAACTAGTTGAAACCAAACTTAGAACTCTCCATGTCTTCATTTATATTTTTAATAGATTATCCTACTAAAACAGGGCTTTTCAACCTTATCACAGATTGTACCACTTTTAGGACATGACAATAGTTGAGTACCACCAGTGCTTAGCAAGGTGTCAAAAATTTGATGACTAAAAAAAAAAGGGGGGGGGAATTTGGGGTTTTACTGATTAGATTCATTTGTTGTTCTAGAAATGGCTAGTTTATAATATTATGGAAAAGTAAAAAGTTGAGGTTCAGTGTTAATGCTTCCTTCTACTGCAACAGAGGAAGTCTGTTCGTTTTCCCTTCTCCCCCTCACATTTTTTCCCTTTTTCCTCCCCAGTGTCCTACTATTTGCTTTTGTATTTTATTCTATAGTCTACTAAAATATTACAAACTGTAGGAAAAAAGTATCTGTTTTAATTTCTTTGGTGGCTGTTCCTTTGTTGAATCACTTTCCCTTTGCACTGACAAATGTATGATGAATTTATCCATGTTTATTAATATGCACCACTATCAGCTAGCTCAGGGGTCTTCAAACTTGGCATTTTTAAGACTTGTGGACTTCAGCTCCCAGAATTCCTCAGCCACCATGGCTGGATAAGGAATTCTGGGAGTTGAAGTCTACAGGTCTTAAAGTTGCTAAGTTTGTAGACCCCTGAGCTAGCTGGTCGGCCCTTCTTAGCTCTTCTTCCACACAGTGTATTGAGAATGCACCCCCCAATCCCTTCCCTGTACCCTTAAAGACACAGGAATCAGTACAAAGCAAGAGAGGCTTACAAAATAAAGAAACACATAAACTCTGGGTTTGTTTGTTTTTCTTTAAGCTGCCTCAGGGGTGTCACCATGTTGCAATCCCCGACTGAAAGGCTCCGGCAATTGCAAAAAGCTTTAGCTTTAAAATGAAACCTGTTCACCTTCAAAGAACCAGGGGACTTTTTCTTCCAGCAACAGCTGCTGCTTCTCTGTCTGTTTCCTCCCTGCTGGCTGACCTCTCCTTCTCTTTCCATTGTCTTTTTTCCCCCTTTCCTGCCCAAACCACTTCCTTTTATAGCTTCTCCTCTCCCTCCCCCCTCCTTTTTTCTTCAGTTCACCTCCAGCTCCTCACTGCTTCGGGAAGCCCCAATCAGCTGGAGCCCTGCTGGCTCCTGCGGCTTCTGCTCAGCCCAGACAGTCTTGCAGCTGCAGCTGTCTCTCCCTCAGGCTTGGCTTGCTTGGCTCATTCCCCTCCCTTGCTACACTTGGCTAGCAGTCACGTACCACCTGCCACGTGGCAAAGTACCACAGGTGGTACGCATACCACTGGTTGAAAAGCCCTGTACTAAAAGATATTCTCCGTTATTTGCTTTTGCTGGCATGCAAAAACAGGCTTCATTCAGCAGAATTTTTGCTTACTAGGTTAACAATAACAATAAAGTGGTAATTCCCTATTGTGATTTAGTTATAATAAACTGTCTTGAATGGATATATATATTTGAGAAAAGCAGAATACAGATCTTATGAATAAAGAGAAAAATTCCAGAAATCTATCTCACAAAGTAGTTCCTATTCTAGTCTAGTGTCAGAGTGGAGATGAGGACACTTTTTCCAGATTAGTCTAGTAAGCTACACTTTACTTGTGAGTTCAGTTAGGGTGAGTAATATAGGCTTGGATTGTCTTGCCATCTGAAATATAGTCTAAAAAACACCTCCACCTTTAGGCCACCAGTTGGTTCTGTTTAGCCATTATGTTCTATAATCAAACAAACCACATTATGGTTTAGGTACTATAATGTGCAGAACCAACCAGTTTTGAAACCCATATGAATAAAAATCAAATTGGAAAACAGAAAAGTAGGCAACAGCCCAGTGATGGCGAACCTTTTAGAGACCAAATGCCCAAACTGCAACCCAAAACCCACTTATTTATTGCCGGGTGCCAGGTGGGATGTGGCCTCGATGTTGCTCATGGGGAGGGATGCCTGTGGAGGCCGGGCAGGGCTGGGGGAGATCCAGGGTGTCTCCGGCAGGTGGGGCAGTGGGCAGACTTGTCCTGCGAGGCGAGGCGAGGCAGGGCGGGGGTACCATTGCCACGGGGCAAGGCAAGGCAGGGGCCGGGGCAGCTGCTGCCCTGACACCATTGGCCTCCGCACACAGAGGCCAGCGAGCGCATTGGGGCCGACAGTGTCCGTCAGCAGCCACAGCCTGCCGGCTCCTCAACCGGTGTACTCTGGGGCTCCACAGCCCGCTGCCAGCAGTTCAGAGAAGTTGCCTTTGAGCTGGACAGGTGGCCTACAACTGAGGAGGCAATGCAGTGGGTCATGCCCGGGAAAAGGAGAGCATGCGAGGCCAGGAGGGACGGGACAGGGGGAGGGAAGCCAGCTGTTCCAGGATGCATCCGGCCACGTGGGACCTCAGGCGGCTGGTTGAAGAGGGATGGTTGCCATCTCCGTGGCATGGCATGCATGCCAACAAAGAGGGCTCTGAGTGCCGCCTCTGGCACGTGTGCCATAAGTTCGCCACCACTGCAATAGCCCAAATCTTTCAGAAGCACCAACTGATGTTTTCAGTAGATTAATAACCAAGTACAGGTGGTCCTCACTTAATGACCACTCCTACAGGGATCATTCAAGGTTGGAAATGTTGGTAGATTGCAAATAGTGACTACATGTTGTCATCACTTAACATGCACATAGTGATTCACTTAATTATGACAAACCATTGTTTCTATAGTTTAGTTTCTTAATGAAGAAACATGTGGGCTAAATTGCCTTCCATATTTATTACTAAAAAGAATACATATTCCACTTCTATCAGTGACCATTGCTTCATCAATAAGGGTATTCAAGTTCTTGTAACAGAAGGATCACAAACATTTGTGCACCTATTCTTTCTGATTCCACTAAACTCCTTCATGAAAAGGTAATGGCTAAGTTCACATATCAATGCTATACTATAACCTGTGAACCCAACTATTACAGCTTAGCGTGTGGTGTGAGCCCACCTACTTGTGACATATACAGTAAGCCATGCTTAAACAATTCCAGCCATGTCAACCCTAAGAAAAAGTTTGAAAATTATTAAGTAACTGTCGCATTAGTGAATCTTGAAAATGAATATGTATATCCATCATCTGTACAAAAACACAATTATTCTTCCTTGGGAGGATGCCCTTGATACACACTCTTAGAGAGTTAGTGTAATTGAGCTCACAATATATTTGGTGTTTAACAATATAAAGCTCAATGGCTTTGACAAATTGGAGGGAAAGCGACATAATATAAAGAAAATAGGCATCATTATATGTTCCCATCATATCTAAAGAACTTTGCATGAAAAGCAATACCTTAAAACAAATTATATATATTTTTTAAAAAGGGCAGATCTCTGTAATATGAATATATTAATCTACACCTCACATTAGCCTTTTACCCTTAAGTGGTACAAATCAGCCCAAAGAGAATGTCTTACAGCTCTTGCCGGGAAGTGGAAAAAAACAAATCCAGAGTGTGCCTGGCCTCACGTATCTGGCTAGTTATTAGTGGAGATATCTCCATGGTTGTCATGGAGGCCATGCAGTCCCAAGCTGACCCTCAAGGAAGAGTTAGTCTTGGCATAAATGGTAAGGCTGTTTCTAAACAACAAGCTATTACATGATAGTTGCCAATACTGTGTGAAAACACATTTATATGAGTCCCCTGAAAAAAACTTAATACTCTTAATGAAGATAACTACAGGAATAAATAATACTTTACAATCAGTTTGCATGGTACCTAGGAGGTGCATGAAGTAAAAAAAGCATGTAGGCTTCCTATCTGGAACAGAAAATGAAGAAAATGAGAAGAGGAAGAATAGCAAATATCGGAAATAAATGTAAAAACAGGACACAACGGGTTTCATAGAAAAGAACTACACAACAAAGCTGAATCCAGAAAGCCTTTTTTGGATTCATCCCATTAGGAACTTTGTAGAAATCACATTTCTTTTGAACAAAGCTAAATATAGTTACTATCCCACTAGAGAAAGTGCACCAAACTAGTTGTTTCTTACAGCTACCTGCTGCTAAGATCACTAAGAGATGTTTTTTTTATAATGAAAATAAGTGCTGCTCATAAATATCCCACATTAAGTTGCCATCGCAAACAAAAGCACCAACACTAGTTGAAAATCAAAACTATTCTAGATAAAGGAATAATATATGTATATATAAATCTCACTCCAATCTCCCTGCAGGTATTAATTTGGAGGCCACCAGTTTAGAGAAGATGCCTTAGAACTGATACTTCAATAAAAAGGAAGAACTTAACAATATTAGTTAAATATTTGCATACATTATCATTAGATTGTTCTTTTAAGATCAAACTCTGATGAATCTAGATTCTGGATAATATGGAATGCATATGTTTTCTCTCCTTGTGAATAAATCAATAGACTTTAGCCAACCAATCTATAAAAATATGTAACAAATTTTAAAATAGTACAGGTCTTCTTTTCATATTTGTTGGTATCCCGCTCTCATCAGCTCCCACTAGCAGAGCTAATGACCAGGAACCAAGCTGCAGTGGTCAGAACAGCAATGAGGACAGATCACATCAAGATATAATCAATCATGAGTCTGCATAGATATGTAAGCATTCCATTTCCTTGTTCTGTGCCCTTTTTAAGAGGTCTATAATAAACCATGTTTTTTTAAGCTTTTTACTAGAAGACACTCAATTCTTATATGCGTATGTATATATAGTATGTAAGCCATACTTTTTTCTAAACAAAAATAGAAAATATTTTCATAACTTGAATCAGAAATCCACAATTTGATATAGAAGATACTTTTATCACTGATGTTCTATTGGTACTATTCTACTATTGTTTATCACCACTGCTGCCTTGCTTATGTTTATGTTCCAATTTCTTATAATTTATCAGGGTAATGATTGACGAAGCCTAGATTTGCTGAAACTTTCTTCTGTCATAATATGGGAATGGTTCATACTTAAGTTTGGTACTTGAACATGAAAGAACAAAATGTAAACTTGTGATGTTTGTTGAACTTTTGTCAGTGGATCTTTATATCCAAATTGATTCTCTAACTGCATGGCAGTAAATTTATTTTAATAAAATCATTTTGGCAGGTTGTCATAGAAATTCTCATACAGATTCAGGTTGTAATGTCACCCTGAAATTATGCAAGTGTTTCCTTACTCTTGTTCTTTCAGAAAATGTATTGGTGTTGGACTTTTCTTTCTTATAAAAAAACCCCAAGATTTAAACTATGGACTAACTCTATAGAGTCTAAGAATAGTAGTAGGTCACTTAGAGAACAAACCTAAAGTGGCAGCTGTGCACTGATGTTGCCCAGCAACCGCACAAATCAAGGGAAGCTTGATCAATGTCTTATAGGTACAAAATAAAAAATCTTGCATGTCCCGTTTCATATATTTTGTAAATAAGTTATGAAATTGTTAATTAACTGAGTCCAATTTTCTCCTTATAATTATATAACATCTGGAAAGCCATGTAAGATGTGAAGGTAAAAAATATCCTTCAAACTGAGCTCAAGCCCTTCCAATTTCATGGACCCATCTGTATTACATCTTCACATGAAAATAATGGTGTAATTCACTTGCAAAACTTGGCTCTGTGTGAGAATCAGTTTCTCGCATAAGGGTGCCAAATCTTTTTGACTGCTGTGCGTATACTGTAACAACATTAAGTGTTGACTATGGCAGGACTCTTAAGATTATTTTAATGTCTCTAATTGTTGCAGACCAAGATTTTGGAGACCGAAACACTTACAACTCTTTCTGAAGCCATAATCTTCAAGTAAGCATTTGTATATTCTGATTCTCTCCATTCAATCATTTTCAGGATTCTAGTTTCCAAGAGAGAAAAATAAAGCAGATTAAGTCCACTCAGTAGTAATTTGTGTTTGTCAACTATTTATTTTTACACAAGAACCTATCTTAAGTGCATGGAGGGTAGGTCTTAGAGACTATTTTGGTCTTCGCAGGCAGTCGCCCTAGAAGGAAACAGATATGGAAATGTCTGGCTTAAACTTTCACCATCTGGTAAGTGAAGTGATTTAAAGATCATTAAACTCTGTTTTATCCACCGGAAATATAATAAATAATGAACCAATGCAGTTCAATTACCATTATTCCCATTACTGGGAATAACAGTATGCTCAGACCAGATAACTTTATGTCACTCCATTTTCTACCTCACAGGGTTATTGTGAGGAAATCTCACTAGGAGTGCTAGCTACCATATAATGTCTCGAGCAGGAAAAGTAGGATATAAATCTAACAAATATAATAGCAGGCAGCAAGCATGCAATTCCCTTGGTGACTCTCATCTAACCTCAGACATAATATTTCTGAAGAACTGGATTTATCTTCAAGCAATTCATCTCAGCTTCACCTGATCCATTAAGCCTCCTTTCTCCCAATAGGATCCTGGATCCTTTAAAAAAAAAAAAGAGAGAGAGAGAGAGAGAGAGCGCGAAGGCTTGCCATATGATGTTGTGGAAAGGGCAGAGAAAGAAATGCAGAACTGAAGAAGGGGAGACGAGATGTAAAATTGTAAAATTCTAAGGTTTTCAGTTTTCTCAAGCGGCAGCCCCCTGCCCTAGAGAATAACGGCGACGCTCATATGAATCCATTAGTTGCAGCCCCTCGCGGGGGTGGGGGGTGGGAGGGGGAGAAAAGGCTCGATCCTCCCTCTCTGACTGCGGGCGCTGCAGTGCGAAGCGGCGGGTGTGAAGCTTCCACTTCCCTGGGATTTCATTTCGGGGGGGGGAGGAGGGGGGTGCGCGCAGAATAGAAAGCAAGAGAAAAGATCCGCCATATTCCTGCCTTACCACGCCCGGAGAGCTGAGCTACTGAAATCAGTCTGGTTGCACAGTATATGCACCAGTCTCTGCCTCCCCCCGCCGCCTCCCATGGTACCCACCCCCGTTTCTTACACCAAAGGAAAGGCGGAACCGAGAAAGGAAGAGCTGGCCCTCCCCGGCTGTCGCCGCCGCTGCCGCCGCCTTCGAGGACAAGCAAGCGCTGCTCTCTCTCCCTCTCTCTCCCTCTTTCTTCGCCCCCAGGCTCCGAGCGAGGGAAGTTGACTTTCCAAAAAGCAGTCCGGAGGTTTCTCGGGGCCAGGGGAGAAGCCGCGTCTCCTGCGCGGACGCTTGGGGGCCGCGTTCGGGAAAAGGCAGCGGGGGAGGGAGGGGGAAGAGAAAGCGAAGGAAATGGACGGGTTCGGAGCGGAGGGCGGCTTCGGGCGCAGTCGCTAGGGCTTCCAGCGGAGAAGGGAAGAGCCGCGCGATTTGCCGGGAGGGAGGTCAGGGAGGGAGCCGAGAGGCGGCGGCAGCGCAGAAATAAGAGGGAGGGGTAGGAAAGCGGGGTTGTTTGCAAGCAGGACGCTTTTGCTTTCTGCCGGGCAGCGCGCTTGCTGCTTCTTCTGCCTGGGCGGGTGTTTCTCCGCGGTTTGGCGCAGGATTGAAGGGAGAGGAGGACTGGGAAGCGGCGAAGAGTTTGGGGGGGGGGCGTAGGTGGGGGACACCTGCCTGTGGCGGAGGCGTGGGGGGGGGTCACGTCGCGGAGGTGCCCGGGCGTCTCGGCGTGTTAGCAGCCAGGGTTCTCCCCGGGGCTCGTCGCCTTGCCTTCGCTTGCGCCTGGCGACGGGAGGGGCGCTCCGACTGAGGAGCGGGGGGGCTTTCTGGCGCTCGCGGCTTTGTGGCTCGGGGTCTGCGTGTTTTCGGGGGGTGGGGGGCTGCGCCTGAACCAGCTCGGAAGAATGACTCTGGAGTCCATCATGGCGTGCTGCCTGAGCGAGGAAGCCAAGGAAGCCAGGCGGATCAACGATGAAATTGAGAGGCAGCTCCGCCGAGACAAGCGGGACGCTCGCCGAGAACTCAAGCTGCTGCTGCTGGGTAAGACTTAACCGGCGGCGCCCGTCACCCCATTTTGGCCAACTGCTTTGCCCCCTTCCCCTCCTCCCTTCGGGCCAATCTGGCTTCATCCCAGGCGAAAGAGGGAGACTGCATAAATGCGCCGGAGGACCTTAGGTCTACCTAGAAGAAAGGGGTGATCCTGGGTGTGCTGATGCGTGTGTGTGCACGCACGCGAGAGCTCTCACAAGAATAGTGGCCCTAGATTATTTGGATTTATTCCCATGCAGTTGTGCACATCGTAGCGGTAGCCAAGCCAGCTGCTGCTGTAGGAAACCAGAGCTTGGGTCTGTTGGCGTGAAAGGTGTGTTCAAACGGCAGGATGAGGAGGGGCCGTAAGAGAATTGCAATCCCTTCCCGCTTCCTTTTTTTTTTTTTCAATGGGACTGTGCCATCTCCATCCTTAACAAAATGCGTTATCCTGGGCGTAGGAGCGAGGTATGCGGATGCCGGGCTGCTTTGCCTAGCCGTCTCGGCCCTTTCTTCTCCTGGCATATTTGCCCGCCGTCTCCTCCTGCCTTTCCGAGCAAGCAGCGAATCGAATGGCTGCTTGTGCTTGCTGTGGGTAGTTTCGTGTGTGGAGTGGACGCCTTCCCGAAAATGGAGAGAAAGAGGAGAGGTCGGGTGAAAAGGGAGAGAGGAGAAGTAGAGCAAGATGCCGAGCTTCAGGCAGAGAGATGGGCGGCAAACGCCTGTTGTGGGAATGCGAAGAGAGCAAGAAGGGAAAACGCATTCCCCCTCCCCGCCTTTGCCAAGGTTGACCCGAAATAAAGAGCTGGACTGAAGGAGCTGCCTTCTAGGATTGATGAAGACAGGATTGTGAATATGTGTTCCCTTTTCAGGAAGGCTGGAGTCCTTCCTCTGCCCTGGAGCAGTGGTTTTTCTTTGAAAGGCAGCAGGATCTGAACACAGATGAGGTGGAAGGCAAGCAAGGGTCTGGATCTAGCCTTCTACCAGAGGCTGGCTGTGAACTGGGAATCTTTTATTGGTACAGAAAGATGAAAGCTTTGGATCAGGGACTCCTATAATTGGCCAGCTAGATCTGTGTGAGAATAGGAAGCGGTGGAGCTCTTGCCATTTGGGGCTTCAAGCCACCCAAATTAAAGACATGGGAGAAAAAAGTACTTGTCCATTTGGTGAGGGTCTCTATGTTCTGCTGTAATTAATTCAAAGGGGAGGCTGTGACTAGGAATAATGGCTTGAAAAAAAAATGTCTGCAGTACTGTTTGCTTGGAAGGCGTGGTATTATAAAATTGACTGCCATGTGTGAACCTCACAAAGAGCTCATGACTTTATTGAAGCCTGCCTCTGTTTTGCACACAAAACTAATTCTTCAGTCTTAGGGACATTTCCATTAAGAAAAATTAAAATTGGCGAATAGCTCAGAAAACAAACTCTGCAGTCAGGGGCTGCACAGCAACATAGATGTCTTTTTTCTTATGTAAGTTCTGCTGTGTAGTTCATATTGTTATGGGTGGAAAAAGAATATAATAATGCAAAGAAAAGGATCTTTGCTCTTTGGGCTCCATTGACTCAGGCTTGTCAGGAGTAAGCTGACTTGAAATAAATAAGTTGAACTTCTCTTTGTATTGTCATAAGAATATCCAGGTAGAATAATAACACCTTTGGGGCAAGTAACTGCTCTACCCAACTCTTTAGGGTAGCCTTCTCAGAGCTGATGCCTTCAATTGTGATGACACTACAACTCTCAAAATTAGTTACCTGGGGATTTTGGACATTATAATTCTAACGTGTCTGGAGGATGTCAAGTTCAGGAAGGCAGATCAACATTATCAGATAATTTGTTCCTTGGTTGCTGAATTATTAAAAATATAGTCTTTAAGTACAATTTCAGATTGGAGGAAAAGGGGATGTGTGGAAAGCGCATTTAGATACTTGGTATCTTCCTTATGAGTGTTTACCCATAGCTGAGAAATTAACCAATATATATGTCAAGGATGTGTTATAACAAAATCAGATGTCTCTGAGTATCTGGTTTTTATTCTTAATAAACCCAGATGATTTGATATATAAATAGTAGACTTTTTGTATTCGTTGCTTGTGAACATAAGGAGTTCTGTTTGTCTGTTAGAATAATATTCATATTGTATGCTAGTTAAAAACTTGACTATAATAGTATGCCTCATTTACAAATACATTGGTCACCACTCTTTGGGAGAAAAAATAGGAATGGGTCATAGAATGGGTGGATGATGGCAAATTCTTATAAGATATTACAGTTTTCTTATTTTTTTTCTAAAAACTAACAAATGCACTGTTCAGATCCACCAATTTTTCTATGAAAATTTCAATTATGTATGTACAGAGCTTTCCAATTAAGCTTTCCAAAGATTGGTAGATTAAGACTATTGTCACTAAACTGGTAGTTATACAAATGTAGTTGACATTCAATAAGTTGCAAGTAAATTTAGAACTATAAAAGCTCAGAAATCTCAGTAAGACTTTTTTGTGAAGAACAGAAAATTTGAATTTTTTTTCTTGAGGGTTTCATCAAACATCTGAAAACATTTATATCATAACGTACAATATTCACTGTTTTTAGCCTGTGTACCAGAATGATCCATGTTAATCTGAGAACAAACTTTGCAGAAATTAAAAAAAGGCTTCCCTCAACTCCAAATAGATGTTCTGAGATTGGAGAGTAAGCCAAAAATTACCTTTAGTGTTATTTATCTGCTGTATTTGACATACGGATTTTATTCAGTAGAAGACCTATATTCCAATTATCACTTAATAAAGGTATATTCATTTATCATTTGTTTCCAACATTTGTTTTCTCTTTTGAGTTACTGAAGCTAAATGGTAGCACCTCCTAACTCAGTGGTTCTCAACCTTTTTAATGCCGCGACCCCCAACCAGTCGTAAATCAAGGACTACCCAACCGGTTGTAAATCGAGGACTACCCAACCGGTCATAAGTCGAGGACTTTCCCTGCCCGGGAGTGCTGCGCATGCGTGGTGCTGCTCCCTGCGCCGGCCGAGGTGTAGCTGGCAGGGCCACCAGCTGGCCCAGCCCAAGGGAGGTAAGGCACCCGCCGGGCCCCACGCGCGCCAGCAACCCTCCCTGTGCCGCCAGCCTCCCACCTCCCACCCCTGGCCCTCTTCTACTTACATTTTTAGTAGTTGCTCAGCAGGGAGGAGTGGAAACTTCCAGATAGCTCGCCTTCGCTGCAGACAACTTGCAGCACCGTTTGCAGAATGGAACTTTTGGCGGGCTCAGCATGGCAGAGACAGCCTGAACAATTCCTATTGGCTTTTGAAAGCAATAGAATTGGACTCTATTCAAGAGAGTCTATTCTATTGGCTTTCAAAAGCCAATAGAATAAAAGGGAGTAGCATAGCTAAGGAAAAGAGGAAAAAAATGGCGGACTGTGTTGTTTGGCGACCCCCGTGAAATGGTCATTCGACCCCAAATGGGGTCCTGACCCACAGGTTGAGAACCACTGTCCTAACTGAACCTGGGCAGTCTTAACAAGCTATAAGCAGGATCAAACCTAGTCATTAATTGGATGGGAAGCTACCAAGAAGTAGCAGAACTATTGACTAAAATGTGGAGTTGGAACACTTTAGAAAAAGACTTTATTTATATCCTGCTCCACATTCAGAAGGAACGTAGATCATAAAAACAAGGGAAAGCCATTTTATTGAGTCTATAATATTCTCCATTGTAAAAAAAATAATAATGATTTTATTTAGTCAGATTCTACTCATGATGATTATGTGAACACATCCCTGGTTTTTTTTTTTCCTTGACAACAGTATGGAAGTTACGTTGTACTGTATTGTCATCTTAAATTGTTTTTACTCCCCAGATTAGCCTATAGCCCTGGGATTTCCTGGTAGAATACTAACAGGCTCTGCTTTTAAGGTTTTTTTTCAGATCAACCAAAGTCAGGTGGTGCTGCACCCAACAGATTTTATATACATGGAACCATAACTTGAAATGAAGTTTTTATAAAATATGTGTCAGTTTCTTGGAAGTAAAGGTTATTGAACTTAAAATAAATGTTTTATTTAATGATTCTTTTTTTAAAAAGCAATTTATAATAGGCCTTTGGCCTTTATTAAGCCAAATAGAATTTGCAAATTAATATGCAAATCTTCCAGTAGACAAGAACATAAGAAAAGTCGGTTTGAAATTCAGGACAAAATAAGTGCAAAAATGTGGATAATGTTTCAGAGATGACAGCGGTTTGCAGATTCCCAACTGAAATATTAAGAATCTAAGAAGGATGGTCTGAGAGCAGTTTACACAGTAATAGATCTTTGTTGAAGCTGAACTGGTGTAGATCTTTAATGTGAAAAATATCATTAGGGTCCCATTTAAAATGCACTATATAAATCCAATAATCTGAATACTTAATTTATTAATATTTTGGAACATCTTTTTGCTAAGAGCACCAAACCATTGCGTAAATAATTTGAAATAAAACCATGAATTTAGAATAGTAGAATTTAAAGATTATTGAAAAGGGAACATTAGTGGCATGTCTTACTACCAGGAGATTCCTTGGATGAAGTACATTTTGTACTTGAAAACAGCATAAGAAAAAACTTTTTGTTACATGTCTGGGCAAATGGGTTTCAATGAAAATTTGTGACTTTTGGAAGATCTCTGAGGAAATTTTTAAAAATCAGATGAGATACTGTAATAACAATAACAATATGAGAAGGAGGAGAAGAAGAAGAAGACGACGACAGCAATCAGGTTCTTGGATAGTAAAATCCTAATTTCAAGGGATTTAAAAGCTAAAATTAACTTCCAGACAGCAATATATAGGGGTCTGCTGCCATCAAGCCTAATTTTATAGTATGCCAAGTACCAAGCAAAACAAAAAAAATTAGGCTAGAAAACCCTACAAACTAAGAAGTAAATAACTTGTTTGATTTCTTTACATTTCTGGATGAAACATGTCAGTTCAGAGCCATGGGGGTATAGTGGTTAGAATTTGGTATTGCAGG